AAAAGAAAGAAAGAAAGAAAGAAAGAAAGAAAGAAAGAAAGAAAGAAAGAAAGAAAGAAATGAAAGGAGCCTTACAGAACATTGATAGATAGAGAAGCTAAGGATTGTGGGAGGAAAAGGATTTACCCAGGATCTCAAAGCCATTTAGAGCAGAAAAGGGCTCCAAACTTGGTCTCTAAATTTCCTACCCAGCTGCCTTCTCCTGACATAAAGATCAAGAAGATAGGACAGAGGGTCTGTGCCCACTGTTTCATACCATTTCTGATCTCTGTGTCTGTATTCTTTCTCCATCTCTTTGGTTTTGTCTGTCTCTGCCATTTCTTTCTTGTTGCTCTGAACCTGCATATACCTTCCCTGAACCCAATCTGTCCTCTGTGGATATATTCACTGGGCCGGGGAGAGCATGTTTCTGATGGGGGACAGTTGTCACAGTGAGAAAATTGAACAAGTTCTGCTCCCTGTTATGGGTACCCTGGAGACAGGGGACCAGGGTCCCGGTTACAGTGAAGGCCCTCCTCCTGTGATTGAGACCATTTAAAGACACCCTCCCTGCTGCAAGGCCTGGACCTGCTCAGGTCTCATGTCGGGCACTCCCACTTCTGCTTGCACTTCTGCCTCTGGTAAATTCTTCAACCACTCACACATCAGCCCTACCATCCCCCTACACCACTGCATACTCCATAGATGATGCAGAGCACAGAAGCCTGTAACACATTATACCATGACTATGTATTGGGTTTAATTCTCTCGACCCTATGGAAATTCTGAAAATAAAATAAAATGAGGAAGGTCCCCTCACCGAATGTTAGCAATACAGGTAATTAAACCCTAAGGAGGAAACTGGGTATGGAAAAGTTAAGTACTCTACCCAGGGTCACACAACTCATAAGCGAGAGTCAGACTTCCAATCTAAGTAGACTGATTCCAGAATAAATTATAATGTCAGCAGTAAAGTGGACTTACTATGTGCCAGGCACTGAGGTGAGGACTTCGGTTTTTTTCTTTACTCCTCACCATAATTCTCTAGTGTGAAGATGATTAAGACTGAATTAACAATACTGATGAAGAAGCCTGAAGCTTAGTGAGTCTCAACAGCACAGCTAAGAGCATGAACTGGGATTCATACTTAGGGTGTCAGTTCCAAAACCTGGGCTCCTGAGCATGAGGGTATGAGGCCAGCACCTCTTGCTCATTGATGGGAGGCTTGGAAGAGAAGATTTGCTGGTATGCTAAACTGCACCTGCATAAAAGGAATACTATCACTTTCTATGGTGGTAGGAGTACTAGTGGGAAAGGAGGAGGAGGAGAGGAAGTAGGGAAGGGAGGAAGAAACTGTGAAGAAGAGCTTTTCTCTGAACTTGACGATGCTTTGCCTAGAACGCTCCTACGTCCTCCTGGACTTGAAGAGTGTGTCCTGATTCACAGTTGGTCTGTGCAGTATTTTTTAATTTTTATTTTTTCAAGAGAGAGGTAGAGAGACCCCTCACCACCACTACTACCACCACCCACAGCAGGGTCTTCACTCCATGATCCACTTTTAGTCCCAGTCAGCCTGGGTCACGGACATGTGCACATGTACCGGGCATGCTCCAGGAGGTCCTGGGACATAAGTCCAGCACTTTTCCCATGTGGGTTCAGTTGGTTACAGCTATGCCACCAACTGGCTCCATGTGTTTTTCTTTTCTTCTTCTTCTTCTTCTTCTTATTTTTCTTCTTCTTCTTCTTTGCAGAGCTGGTGCTTGAGATATATCTGCTAAGGAATCAAGTATAAAATTCTCTCCCAATACATACCTTTCGAGTCCTCTCTCAGCCCCTAGTAGGCGCTCTTGGGAATCTGGGCCTTACTTTTAACTGTTAACATGCAAGGGCTGTGAGCACATGTCATGTGCCAGGGCCAGGCCAGGCACTTTACATATAGGCCCTCAGTTAGGCTTCGGAGGAGGCCAAGGTTGTTAGAGTTCTTATCCCCATGAGGTATGTAAATGCATCTGAGACTCAGGGAATTGAGGGAACCTGCCCAAGGTCACAGCTAAGGAATGGCAGATCCAGACAGTGGGTTTAGTAAATTTCCCAAGGTCATGCAGTAGGTTGGCCACACTTCTCTGCAAGCCCATGCTTCTAAAGGACAGCGGTCCTGAGTATGTGTAGCCATCGGCCATTTGCTCTGAAAAGCAGAAGGAGGTTAGAGCATCCCCTAGGGGGAGCCCAGACTCAGCTGGGCTAGGAACCCTGAGTAACATTTTCAGAAACTGGCCTCTACTCCTCTGCTCTGTGCTGGTCCTTAATTTTGTGTGAAACTTCACAGACATGTTGCTAGTAATTCCAGGCCCCCTTTTGTGCATCTGGGTTTAGTCATCTGCATTGCTGGTATTCTATGTAGCCTTAGCTAGAATGAAGTAAACCCCCCAACTGCAAGGAGGAAGAGCACCAGAGCCAGGAACATAGGGCCTGGATTCACTTTCTGCAATGTAAAATAAGAGAAATAGTATTATAAAGCTAACCAGTACATAAAAATGACCAACATATATAACAAACACTTATGATATAAATATGCTTCTATATTAATGCATTAGTTAACATGATCTTGCATCAGATTTATAAACTATTGACATTTGTAAGTAGTGCTGAGGGTGATATTTTGAGGTGGCTAAAACACGATACAAAAATATTTGTGATTTATTTTATTTCTTAAATTTTGCCAGAGGGTACATGTGCTCTCTGAAGAGAGACAGAGAGAGAAAGCAAGCAAGTACTCCCCTGTCTCCATGGGGCATGGTCACACCACAGTCCCTTCTCTTCTATCTCTCCCTTTTTTTTTTTTTCTTTTTTTTCCCCCAATTTATTTATTTGCATTCATTCACTGTACATCATTACAGCATACAAAATGAGATTTTCCATCTAGAG